AAATATATGCCTTTATTATTAAGTTTACATGTACTTAAAGTGGACTGAAAAAACTTTCAATTTGATTTTTATAGACAATCTTTCACATGGCGTATTTGCCATGAGAAAAATTGTCTATGTAGCAAATTTCAGTATAATACGTCATTTTGTTCATAAAACATAGTTGTGTAAAAATTATCATTATTTAACAACAAAAGAGCATTTTACAAAAAATAAAAAAAAGAAATTGGAAATCTGAACTCACTCAACTACTGTAAGGAGTTTCCAAATTTCCTAATTTTTATAAACCCTTCAACAAATCAAAAAATTAGCAAAATCCAAAACGTGGGATGACATTTTTTTTTTTGACATTTTGTCACAATAACCTGATTAAATCTGAATAACAAAAAGACTTTTTGAAAAGATATTTATATATATATTTTTTTTAATATTTTTTTATTGCCTTTAATATGCTTTTGACTGCACATGAAAGAAATTTTTGGTCCCACTTGTTTCAAAAATTTATGTTTCCACTTTTAATCAAAGAATTTTTTAAATAAACATGTGATCGTTTAAATTTTATAAAAAATGAATTAAAATATACCTGATAATTTCCATTACTGGCGACTCAAAACTAGGACATTCTAATAATGGCGAATCCATCATAATTCCTGGGGGAAAAAAAATTCCTTAAATATTTAATTGTAAAATTTAATCATCAATTTAATTCTTATTAAATTATTAAAATGCATACCAGATTCAACAGACTCTGTAACTGAACCAGCTCTTTTTGGCGTTGGTGTCCCATAGTCAAGTGACAACCTTCTTCGAGGAGTTGACACAGAGCTATACACATTTATGAAAGATAAAGGTAATAATAACAAGGAAGAAAACTAGGTTCAAAAGAAAACACCTTACACAGACAAAACTTAACTAGATATTCCATAATGCAGTCTTGCCTTCCTTAAGGTTCTTGGTTAAGAGCTATGTGTTGAATAGGTTATAACATTAAATAAAACAAGTAACCTTCTTTTGTGTCCCTTTTAATCTTAGAGTCAAGGAAGTCAAAAGAATAAATATAAAAAAGTATTAAAAAAGACAAATAATAATTTTGAAACATAATTATAACACTTTATTTATTATGCTAATAGCCATAGTGAATAACAAAAAATATAAAAGTATATTAACCTTAATTCCAAATCTATTGACAATTCAGTCATCGGTGAGTTTGCGAATCGTTCATCCATTTTCAGTGCAATTTAAAAATTTATAAATATATTATAAGTTATTTTAACAATAGATTTTGAATTTTAAATTTTTGTCCAACAGTCCAGCTGCATGGCCACCAGATTTAATATTTGTGTTATATTTATTTAAAGCTGAAATAATTGAATAATAATAATAAAATTATATTTACATTCATAATTAGATTCAAATATTTATAAACCATACCTAAATACTAGTATGAATAAAAATAACTAATAGTTATCAAGTCAAAATTGCTGAAAATTTTTTTTATTTTTATTACCCCTTTTAATTGTTTGTCATATTGCAACAATACTTGCTAGTAATGTGATTAAATATTATATTGCAATTATACGATTACACCCAGTAATAAGTTACAAAACAATTAGGTCAAGACCAGGATCATTATATCTTGTTACTGGCAATACCTACAGTATAACCACCACATTTTGATACTGTAATATCTCAGCAGCAACAAGCTGCTAAGCATTATTAATCTCAGCATTTATATGACAAGATATTGGATGTTCATCATATTGTCTAATTTATAAAATTTTTTACATGTTTGTTTCAATTGTCACTTTTCTAGATTTTTATCGAGTAATTCCTTACATTAAATTTTTTTATAATCTAATTATCTAATTCAATAATTTTGTCCATAAAATTGTACACATAATATATATATATATATATATATATATATATATATATATATATATATATATATATATATATATATATATATATATATATATATATATATATATATATTTATATATATATAAATATATATATGTATGTATGTATATATATATATATATATATATATATATATATATATATATATATATATATATATATATATATATATATATATATATATATATATATATATATATATATATATTTGACAAAATTATGGAATTAAAAAGTATAACTGCATACTTATATGTACTATAACTATATAATATTTTGTAGAATCTTGTATTTGGTCAAACTATGATTGCTGTAGCTTAAAAAAAAAACTTATTTTTATGAAAAATAATTTATTTTTCATTATTAATTTAATTATGGCAACAAATCAAACTTTTAAACTCTTCTCCTGGAAAATGTCAAATTATTACAAAATGACTAATGGCCACAGATATACTCTTGCTATGTCATCTTTATGCTTTGTTTTTTTTTTTAAATTACTTTAGAAGACCAGAAAAAAGTTAAAAACCTTTTTTTTTTTAGGCATTCTATCAATTAAAAATTTTTTTTAATTGATAGAATGCCTGCCCAAACCAAACTCTCGGTGGATGTAGCATGTTCTACCTATTTGTCAGCCAATATATATGTAAACAGTAAAAAAACAAAAAAAACATTTGGAATGAATTCATTAAAAAAAATATATATATTTTCTATGTTTTTAAAAACACTCTAGTTTATTATTTGGTCTTTTACAATTTTTTAAAAAATGGTAAAATTTAATTCATTTTCTCAATTCAATTTAATGATTTTGACATTAACTGTACTTGATTTTGTCTTGTTAAAACACAGAGTCATTAAGATCCATTTTTCACCAAAAACATTAAGTTTGTATTTTTTGTTGTTTTTTATTTTTTTTTTTGGTTTTTTTTAGACATTCTTTTGTACTTTTCATTGGACATTGTTGTGTATTGCTTGTATTGTCATGTTTTTTAGTGCATTGTTTGTATTGTCCTATTTTTTTCTCTCTTTTAGTTTGTTAAATGTTGGTTGAACATTTTTTAAGTTGTATATATTTTTTAAACTGTATATCTACATTTGCTATACACATGTACATATACACATTGTGTATGTACATGTGTATATTTTTCTGTATGCATATATTTGTGTATGCATGTGGATATGTATTTCTATATATCTTTATATAACTATATGTATTTTCATATGTAACATATAATTTTCTACTTTTTTTTTAGTCTAATTGTTTTTCTTTATTTTATTTGTGTTATGCTTTTTGTTGATTTTAATTTTTTAATATTATTACTTCTTTTGATATCAAATATTTTTTCTTATCTTAATTCTATTTTGTTTTAGTTATTTTAATTGTAATTATTGTTATCTTTGGTATCATTAATTTAAATTTTATTATTATTTTTCCTATTTTCTTGTTTTTAATTTAAATAATTGTTTTACGTCATTATTAGTTGTCAGGTTTTACCAGTTTTAAACTATTTTTAAATGTCTAACTTTGTATATATAGCTATATTATTTTTATTCTTATTATTGTTATTATTACATTTGTTATTACTATTGTTATTAATGTTGCTGCTCTTATTATTTTGTTCATTTTTATTATTGGTAATGTTATTTTTTTTATTAATACTGTTATTCTTATGTTTGTTATTATTTTTATAAATATTATTTTTACTAAGCATTATTATTTTAATCATTGTTGTTAGGTGCTTACTTAATGTTAGCAAAAATACTACTAGTAAACAACCTTAAAATGTAACCACTAAACATTTAAGAAATATATTGATTCACTTACATAAATTTTTTAGAAGAGCAATTAGAAAATATCCCCACACTCACTCTTTAAGTATCAATTGAAGCACAATTGAAGTTTAAACATCAGAAAAATAATCCACTTTGAAGAAAGTTTTTATCTGTTGAATTTTGCATTCACCAAAACAACTTGCTTGGATCAGCTGTTCTATTTTAGGATAAGTGGCTATACCTTCTGATGATTCTCAAGGACTCTAATAATCACATGCTTGGCCTGGACATATCTTGTGTTTATCTAAAATTTATTTGCCTTCAAATCTAATTTATTTGCCTTGAAATCTATTGACTCCCCAAGAGTGCATTCTTTTGGATGTTATTTCTGAAAATATTTCAATAACCCTTTTGCTTTATTCTTAAGCCAATATTGCTGTTAATCTTGATTTTTATGTTTACTACACTAAATGGTTTGGTTCTGGTAATGCTGACTCTGCTGGTATGCTAAAAATTTTTGTTCTTTTTAACCTTATACTTAGAAATTTAATTTTGTGACATAACTTGTTTTTAAGAAAACCCTTGTCACTTACCTTCAGATCTTGATTTGGACTAGAAATACATGGACCTGATTTAGTTACTAAAAACAGAACTATTAACAAAAACCATTTCATTTCATCTCTTGAATATAATGAGCACTTATCCTGTAATCCCAGAGAAATAGGTTAATAGATTTATAGAGATCTATATCTCCTCGGCTCCTGAATTACTAACAAGTAATTTAATTTTAACTTTTAACTTTAGCAGTTTTGTTGACAACGTCTGATGATCTTCATTGAGTTTCTACAATATTATTGGTATTTTTTAATATTATCTTAATTTGTAATTTTTTCTTTTTTATTTATTTTTACAAATATTGTAATAAACAAAAATTTTAAAAAAAACTTAGTATTATCAGCAAGTTATTTGAGTCTTTAATTAGGAAAAATTTGATCTCATCAACCTACTCTCTGACAATATACTCACATTGCTATCAAGCTAGAGTCTTAGTCCTATTATTTTTTTCTTTTCTGAAAACCTGTAGATGCTGCTGAAACAAGGTTACATATCTTTTATCAACAACTAAAACTCAATTTAGCATGATATGTTGTTCAACAAAGTTCTATCATTTAATATAACTAATCCTTTATGGTTAAAACACTTTTTTTCATCTTTCTTATTTTCTTTTGCATCAATGCATTAGAATTTTCTTTCATTTTCACATTTTCCTAACTTTTAAAAAAAAAGTTGTTTTTTTTTTGTCAAAGTTTTTAAAAATCTTCTGTCAATTGTTTATTTGCTATTTAACCCTTCTTTGTTATTGTCTTTAAGACTCTTCTCAGTTGTTGTCTTAAACAGTCTTTTCAGATAATCTTTTGCTGAGGGTCGTCCCGAAGAGGTTTTCCATGAGGGGGGAGGGGGGAGAGATGTATTTTTTTGCCAACTAGAGACCAAAAAAAAGCTTTGGAGGGGTGGGACACCCCCCTCTTGGAACAGCCCTGCATCCAATCAGTTACCTTTTATTTTCATGCCCTCCACCACCTTCATACTTCTTATTCTATTTCCAACTTGTGGAAATAGAATAAGAAGTATCTTATTGATTCTTTATCAAGCATCAATAACAATCTAAAATAATAACTTCCCGTCTTTGCTAGTATCACTAGCAAAGATGAGAATTTATTATTATAACTGTTATTCATTCACTTATTGTAACTGTTTTTATTGCCACTTTAGAAACATTAAAACAGATTTGATCAAATAGCGCATGTAATGTGGGGTGATAAATTATTTTAAAATTAGCAAAACATAAGAAATAACATCTACTCACATCATAGACTTGTATCGTTAACCAGAAAACAACTTTTTCATTTGAAACTCCAGTCATCAACTAAAATTCACTCTATTATACATTCACTTCCTTAGATATTTGCAAAAACATTAAATAAAATAAAAAAAACAACAACTTTGCTTTGTTTTATTATACCTCTTTATTACCTGGTCTTAAGCTTTTAAATCTATAATGCTTACATATAAACATACACGCAGATTATATATATATATATATATATATATATATATATATATATATATATATATATATATATATATATATATATATATATATATATATATTCAAGATTATTCAGTTTTTTTTATTAACAAAAAACAAGAATTTTAAGTTAAATAAAAGTTATCAATAATTCTGAAGCTTATAACTTCAACAAACATGTTTAAATCAAAAAATTTAAATATTAACCTTTATAAACACTTTAAATATAAAAGATATAAGATATTTACTTCAACAGCATTGTAAAATTTATTTATCAAGAGGCTTATAATTACAAATTTATCAAATAATTTTATATTTTGTAATTTAATAACAACAAGAATGTTTACCAGATACAAAGACATATAACATGGCTTGTTTATGAGCATATATATATATATATATATATATATATATATATATATATATATATATATATATATATATATATATATATATATATATATATATATATATATATATATTCTATATACTAGATGGTTCACACTCTCATAGCTTGGCTAAATGGAGGAGAGTAACCAAAAGCAAGAAAATAAAAGAGAGAAAAAAGAAAATAAAAATTCAAAATTTCATTTTACTGGCTTAAGAGAGATTGGGTAGGGCATTTATATTACAGTTTAACATATTATATATTAATTAAATTTACTAATATTGAATTAAGGTCCATAAAATATAAGAGCAATAATTCGAATACCTTTAGTCTTAAATCCACAAAGTAGCTAAATAATAGTTAATGAATTATGGATATTAACATTAGGTAAATACTTATGTAGTTGAACAGTTTAAGAACATGAGATTAGATATAAAATTGCTTAAAAAAACTTAAAAATTAGAGTAATACAAGAAAGTTAAAAAGTAACCACAGTAGATAAATTTTACAAAATAGAACTGTTTCAATTATTTATTTCTTTTTAAATCTGATGTAATTTGATAGAACAAAGTGGTAGTTAAACAAATAAAAAGCGGTAAGAAGTCAACAAACTTAAACTACAAAGCATGTTATATATTGAAGTTTTTTATTATGTACATGAAAGTCACATAGTTAAATAAAAACGTTTTGAATAAAAAGCATAGACTGCAGCCTATTATAGATTGAATAGAAATGCATCTAGAAAGTATTGCTATATTTCTTTGAGCAGCACAAACTCAAAAGTAGTAAGCAATTTCTTTTAAAGTACATTGCTTCTCATTTTTTAAAAGGATACCAAAGAATTTATAATTGAACAATACCGCCAAATAGACTTGATGGTCAAAATATTCAAATTTGGTGGCGTTTTCAGGCTAAACTATTAGATCTCGATTGCCTCAACTTTTGTTAACTAATATTTCCATAGGTACGGTCACAACAATATCAAAATCGACGCCGTTATACGAAGATGAAAACAAATTTAAATCATTTCTTGTGGCCTCTAAAATGAGAAAAATTAATAACTAACATTAGAAATTAAATTTGTTTATATTTTTCAAGGTTTCATAACATTTGATTCTCGTTTAATATTATAAAATTTTTCATGAAAAATATTAAAATCATTTATAGTATTTTTCATCCCTTGATCAAAAATGACTTAAAAGTAATGATGCATCAATTTGACTTGTACTTTAATTGCTACTCATAAAAACTCCATAAGATATCTTTTTTCTTTAAAATAAAGAATTTCATTCTAAACCTCCTATTATACCATTTACTAGCTTTTTCGAAATAAGCAATGCTATGCGCAGAAACACGTTTAATGTTCAAACTGACAATCCTTCTTTGGCTTGACGATGGATTATCTTGTGATTTGTTTAAAAATGTATCATATACGGTTATTTCCAATCGAAACATTATTGGTACTACATTACAACAACCAGTGTTAGTTTTAAGATCGGGAGAAAAGCAGTTTTTAAATATTATTTTTAATCTTACTTGCACTACTTCAGCTAACGTATCTATTAGATTTATATGTACATCTTGTTTTTGGGTAAATATAAGTATTAATAATGTTCAACAATCATCTGCTTTAAATTTGGTAAAGAATGAAAATTTAATACTTTTTTCTGATGCAAAAATAATAAATCTTAATATTTCTTGGATTCAAACTTTTAATAAAAATTTATATGATGATCTAAGATTTGTAATTCAAAGCTTCAATGAAGTATTATTGAATGATTCATTAGTTAAATTAAATGTAAGTTAAATTGTATTACTTTGATTGTATGTAGCAATTTATATGTAACGTTAGTTCGATAGTTAAGTAAGCATAAAAGTATAATAACATAAAAGTATTCTGAAATAATAGTTACACAAATCATTATTTTAATTCAGATACGTTTTTCTTGCAAAAATATTTGTGCTGAGTTTGCTCCTTCTGATGCTGTACTTTTTAAAAATAATTCATTTTCAATCAAGATAAATTGGGAACATCCGGCGTATGAAAATGCTACATATTTAGTAGATTTTTTTATGCAGCTTCCAAACTACTTAACTGTTACAAATTTTGATTGCACTCCTGATGTTTTACTGAGTTTAAATTTGAATTTCACAAGAATTATTTATAGATTTAACCTTACTGCAAGTCTTGAATGTAAGTTGTCAGTGAATTATAATAGATTAGTGTCTCCTGGTATTATTTCTCATATAAACTTTTCAATTGTTTACTCTACAAACTTTCAGCAATCTTGTTTTTACGAGGAGTGGAAAAAGATTTATTTTTATTATCCACCAGCTATTATCACATGGGTATCTAATCAAAACTTGTCAAAGTTAAATGCTGGAGATAAAGTTATTGTTACATTGAGCTACATAATTCCAAGAAGTTTTTTTATTTTTAATATTAGCATATATGAAAAAAAGGATTTTGTTTCTGTCAATAAAAATAATTCTGAGTAAGTTTAAATTGATTGATTTCTTTTTATATATTAAATTTAAATTTGCTTTTACATAATCTAAAGTATATATTTTAGATGTCTTTTTGGAATTCAAATTTTAAGTTTGGATACTTGGCTTTTAATGGTTCGTTCCTCTATTTTAAAAAAGGCTTCTATAATAAACTCTCCGAAGCTGTCATTTTTTTCATTTGGTGTTATACAGTCAGAAATTGAGGAAGAATTAATTTTGAACATAACCTTTCAGCTTTCTAATGATTCTTATTGCTTACCAGGAAAAGAAATAAACCTGATAATTGAATCAGATATAGGAAATGTTTATATTACTTTTAATGTAGAAAAGCCATTTTTTATTCCTGATTTAATGTTTCTTGACTATTTCAAGGTAAATGTAAGAAACATTAAAAAAAAATGTTTTTCGTTGTATTAGCATTATAAATTTTTGTGATTTTATGAGCTTTCATTTTAATTTATAACAATTTTAGAATATAACCATAATTTTTTCAAGGTTGTTGAAGGGCAACTTTTTGGTAATATTACCATCGCTCACTCACCAAGTTCTGCTTATTCTGCAAAAGATCTTCAAATCTTTTATGAGTGCAATGGGATGGAAGTTTCTGTTTTTGGCAAAAATCCTTCACAGTTATATTTTGAAAATATTTATTTTCCTATTAAACATTTACTGGTTGAAATAAAGAATTTAAACGGTAAATTTAAAAATATATTTAATTTTTCCTTAATTATGTATTTTTTTATTTATAGTAAAAACAAAATTTTTTTAAACAAACTTATTTTAGTTGGAGAAGCAGCGATTATTCTAATCAGTGGAAATTTTTATGATAATGTTGAGGTGAGTATTGCTACAAAATAAAATAAAGAAACACAGCCAGTATTCTACATGGCTTGGTCTGCTAGTCCTAAAATATTTGTAAAAACCAAATAAAATTGAAGTATACAAAAGCCAAATAAAACTTTGAAATATCTGTATTTGTATTTTTTGTGCTTTTAGAGTAGCTTTTGCAATCAAAAAATATATTTATATTGGAAAAGTCAGCAAGTGAGATTTAAATGTGTTATTATTTGAAAAGTACTTTTTTTTTTAACATTAACATGATATGTTACAATAATTTTCTATAATTTGTATACATATTTTCTTACAGTTTTACAGTCCTTTATTTGGTCCAAAAGAATCTAAAACTGTTACTGTTCATAAAAATACACTTTACAGGAATAATGTATGTTTTTAATAATCATATTAGCTCATTAAACTGAAAAATTATTATTATTTTTTTTTTTTAAATAAACAGTTTTATGAAAAAATGTGACGGTTTTGTATAAAAACTGGGAAGAAATATCCAAATCTTTAAAACAAATATTAGTAGATAAAACTTTTCAATGTAGAAGCCAAACACTAAATATTTATAATCAAATGAGTTGTCTCCAAATGTGCTTTTATGATGGTGTTTTGGAAATCTATCTTGAAACCTTTTTAATACTATTAAGTTACAATCATTAGAAATTGTTACAATCATTAGAAATTAATTTGTCAGTTGTTGTTGAGCAATACAGATCATTGATTGAATTCGTAAAGTCAATATCAAATTTATATGAATACTATAGATAATTAAAAGAAATGAAAAGAAAATTAGGAAGAAAAAAACATTTCATGATGAAACAAATGAGTAGGAATCACATACTAATCAAAATTTTAATAACAAAATATTTATTGTTATAATTGTATGTCTTAGTAAACAACTGAAAAACGCCTTGTCTATATTATCAATTGAAAGTGATTTAACTTTGAATATTGGATATACTGATATAATTGATTTTTTTTTTTTGCTGACAAAAAAATCAAGGAGAAAATTTTTATAGTGTATTTTTGTTTTTTATTATACCAATAAATTAACAAAAACAACATACTTTCCGTAGATATGTATTGTTTTAACTTTTATTATAACTATAGGACAACAACTGTTCATATGCCTATGAGGGAACCATAATGGGGGAACCATAGCCACAAATGTAGCATCGTATATAGAAATGATTATAAATAATCTTAAAAAAATTAACCAATTTATTTGTTAATTAGTTAATGACACATTATTTTCATATACTGAGAAAAAAGAGGGAGAATGACAAAAAATTTATGACAAAACAAGTGTGAACAACATGAAAAAGTACTCCTTCATAATTGTAGATACCATAGAAATATTTTCTTTTTAAAACTCTTGCAATAGGTTATTTCCTGATTAATGCTTATTGTGTAAAATTTCTATTATGATTTAATTTGATCAATAATTAAGATAAGCAGAAATAATCAATAAATCTTATCAAAAAGTTTTTATTAAGTTGTTGCTCAAAGTTTTGTTGGAAATTTGAAATTTTTTGATTTTTTGAAATTAAAACTGTTAGAAAAATTCTTTCTTAAGCAACTCTAAAATATTCTAAACAAGATCAATAGTTTGTCACAAAGTCAATCTTAATACATCATCGTCATTATGCAATTAAGCATCAACTTTAATGGTATCAAAGATAAACATCGTGAAATAAGAATTCACCAATAAAAAAATGGAATTCATCAATAAAAAAAATCAATAATAATTGTGTAAAGATTGAACATTGAGTAATATTTTTTTTTCTCATTTACCAATTATAATATTACTTTACAATTTTTTTTTTCCAGAAAATACCTAATTACGGTTTTATATTTATTGGCTTTTTTATGGGTTTTATACTTGGAATCCTTTCTTCTCTTTTTATGGTATGCTGTTTTCGAAAATTCCCTTTTTCAAAAAAAGTAAGTTGTTGTGTTTTCTTTATATATAAATATTAATTTATATGCATAAGTATTTTTTTATTTTAAATAATTTTGTCATTAGTACACTTGGCAAAAGAATGAAGTATCTGACGGCGAAATTAATCAATTTCAAAATAATAGACTTTTACCTTCAAATGATTTTTATCCATGTTTTAATTATGAGTCGCCAAAAGAATATCAAGAGAAATCAGTATTTTGGAAAAGGAATTTACGATCTGATAAAAGGTAAAAGGTATTTCCTACTATGTTTATTTTTTCTGTTAAAAATATATGCATATGTTACTACATATCTATTAACACGGTTAACTTCATCACAAAATAAGGCAACAATTTTAAAATTAAAGTTTTTTGAATTGCCAGTTTCACTAGGAAAACGTTCAGACTGCAACGTTATGATTGAAGTTGCATTTAGCATTTTTTGCATTTAATGAGTTAGGTTCATTTTCCAAGCTTAGTGATCTTTGATTGCTATTTTCATTGTTATCAAGAGATTTTGGGGCTTTTTAACATGTTCAAAATCTTTGTTTTTTAAAATGAACTTTTCTTCTTCATAATACAAATTTTTTCTACTAATTCTTCTTTAGCCAGCTAAATATTTTAGGTTTGTATTTGAGGTTGCACATTTACAACTTTAGCATTTTGTAAGTATGCTCACTCTTTCATCTTGTTTTTTTTTCATTCTTAGATTTGTAAACAGAGTGCTAGTTGATTTCATTTATTGTCAACAAAGCAATACTCTTCAATACTTTCTTCTAGTAATGACAGCGGCGTTAAAACCTATTCTGTCATTGAATAAAAAAACTAGGTGCATAATTGATTTTTTTAAATTGCTCAGTGTCAGTTTTAGAATAATCTTTTATTATAATATAAAATTTCATTAGGCCAACATGTGCCTCATTAGTTTAAATAATGAACACATAATCTATTCTTGATATTCTGAGGTGTTGCTGTAACTTTACCAAAGAAAAAAGGTTATTGTTATTTATGTGTTCAAAATTTTAAATTTAAAAGTGCTTTCCATAATGAAACTTTTTTTTCCTTTTTTAATAAAGTTATTTTACACATTATACTCTTGTGTAAAATAATTTTTGAAAAAATTATTTTATACAAGAGTATAAAAATTCATAAAAAATAATTCAAAAAATTGTTACAGTCCTGAATTTATAGAAATGTAATTTATAATTTACTAAAAACAAACAATAACATAATAAAAATTATAACATAATTTGTTAAACTATTTTGATTTACAGCATTATATCTTGTCAACAAGAGGTTAAACATAAAGATTTATGGAGGGCTTCATTAATGCGCAGGGATAAAACTGTGTTTCACTTACCAAAGTATGATTTTAACATTTTAGTTTTTTTTTGTTTTTTTTTTTTAACCCTTTTGTTTTCAGTTTGTATTTTTATGTAGTTATAAATTGTTAAAAAAGATGTGTTTTAACATAATCTGTTTCTTAAATACCATTTCTAGAGTGATTGGTGATGATTGTAAACTGTTGAATAATTTTCTATTAAACAATTTTCATCAGCTTTGGGTTTATGCAATAAAAACATCTTTTCAAAGCATGCATGATTCTAATGATATTACCTATGAAGTTCTAATTAAAGTAACATGTTTTATTTTTGTGTGTGTTTTTTGTTGGTAAAATTTTAAAGTTTTTGCAAAAAATTTATTAGGTGCTTATTCAACATTTTGTTTCTTAAAATTTTTATCATTAATTTTTTTTAAAGTAAATACTGATTTGTGTTTTACATCAGTTTAAAAAAAAGAAATTTTTTAAATTCTCTAAAACAAGATTTTTTTGCTATTTAAAAACAGGGTGAAAAAAAGAAAACAGGGTGCGACAAATTAGATCATTAAAATTTAAACTAAATATGAAACTCAGAAAAGATATCTAATATTCAGATGCAATAATCAAATGATATTGTAACATCTTTTTTTATTGAGATTTTATAAATAAATAAATTAAATAATTAATTTATAAATTTTATAAAATAATTTTAATAAAGTGATTGTTATTTTTCTTCTAAACTTGTGCAAAAAAAAGTTGACCCTGCACTTTTGAAAAAAAATGTATTTAAGCAAATCATTTTCAACATAATCCAGTTCTGTAAAAATGGCTCTAATTATAAAAGAAATAAAGGAAGTGGTTGTGTTGCCAGAAAAATAGAAGAATAAATAATTGTGTTACCAATTATTTATTCTTCTATGTCTTAAAATCATATTTGATCACCATAATAAAGTTTCTCTAAGACTTTTGGAAATTTGAATTTAGCACATTCCTAATTAATTAACATTTAAAATAAAGGCCAAGCATTAGTTACCATAAAATAAAATAAAATAACAATATGAAATGATAATCAGCAAAAAATAATTTTATAATCAGAATATCAGAATCTGAAAGAAAAATCTTGTGTTATTCATGATAAATCTAATATCATATTGGCTCAGTAATTGGAAATGATATTTTTTACTCAAGCAATGTTGAACAAACTCCTTTTTGGGTAAAATATAGGAAAACTGCAAAATTTAACTAAAAAGTGCTTGTCTGGTTGTGCATTTTTAGTAAAGGGGTGTCAAGATTTTGTCCTCAGCAGTCTTGCATTTACTCAAAATTTATAGTTTAAGCATTGTATTAAGAAACAACAATTACTTTTTAATAAAAAATATCATAATGATAACCTATATTAATTTTGGCCTGACGTGGCTTTATGGGATTATGCAAAAACAGAGTTTTTGGATTACAAAAGAAAACTTTTTTTGCATAATATCATTTTTTTTTTTTAATAATTCTTAATTTATGTGGCTGGAGTGAATAACTCAGAATATCAGCAAAATGAAGATTTTTTAGAAGATCCTAATAGGAATAATTTATGCAAAGGACCAGCAAGCGAAAAAGCTAAAACAACTTTTTATTAGGATAAAAAGCTGCAAGAAAGTCAACAAGAACCTCACAAAGACCTTGCCAAGTCAACTTATCCTCATATTGGGAAAATCAGAAATAATAGATTGATAGAAGAAACTTAAAATTAAAAACTTATAAAGCAATAATCACTCTATATAAAAAATTTCTGTTTAATTTGTAGCCTAAAAATAAGGGAGTAATAGCAATTCATAATTTTCACAGGTTTATAGCAACCCATTAATTGCTTACATATAGCAAATCATTATGCTTAACATTACTTTACAAACTTGTAAGAATCAAGAAAGTTGGTTCAGATATGGTCAAATAAAAGTTAATTAACTAGCTTTACACCATTTTATTTTGATTATTCTGATGAATAAAACTGTTCAGCAGCAAAACAAATGTCAATAGTAATTTAGTATAATGATCAATTGAAAATACTCTCATGAATATTTATTTTACTAAAATATATCTATTTTGTTTTTCATTATTGAAATATTTAATTTAGAATTTATTTTCATATTATTTTTAAGACTAGAAAATCAGCTGATAAGTTATTAGCAACGCTAAGAGATCACCTGCAAGCAGCAATTTTACATGATCAAA